TGATAATTAAACACCGGAAATAAAACTTAAAAATTCAATACCATAAATAAAATTTCACTGAATGGACTTAAAATGTGAGTGAAGATAGAGTCATATTACTCTATTGAAAAAAGTAAAAAGGAAAAAGATTAAAATAGGAATGAATAAAAGCCCCAGAGACCTAAGGGATGATATCAAAATGTTTAATATATAATTACTTGGAATTTTTGAAAAAGGAAAGGAGAAAGAAGATAAAATAGAAAAAAAATCAAAAGAAATAAAGTGGAAAATTTTCCAAATTTAGTGAAAATAGAAACTTACATACAAAAGAATCTCAGCAAATCTCAAGCTGAATAAATGTGAAGAAAATTCATCTAGGCACATCATACTTAAACTACCAAAAGCCAAAAATAAAGAGAGAATCTTAAAAGGAGCTAGAGAAAAATGATATATTACATATGGGGGAAACAATGATAAAGATAAATGTGGAATTCTCATTAGAAATAAGAAAATGGCCATGTCATCTTCATAGTGCTGAATGCAAACAAATAAAAGAAAATCTTGTCAACCCAGAATTCTATATCCAGTGGAAAAATATGATTTCACTCATATGTGGAATTTAAGAAACAACAACAAAAAAAAATGAGCAAAGGGGGGGGGGGAGAGAGAGGCAAATGAAAAAAGAGACTCTTAGCTATAGAGTACAAACTGAGGGTTACCAGAGGGCAGGTGGGTTGGGATGGATGAAAAACAGATGATGGGGATTAAGGAGTGCATTTGTGATGAGCACAGGGTGAGGTATGAAAATGCTAAATTATTATATTGTATACCTGAAACTAATATAACACTGTATGATAACTAACTGGAATTAAAATAAAAACTTAAAAAAATTCATGTATAAGAAAAAAATGATAGTGAAATAAAGACTTTTTTTGTAAAAAAAAATACTGAGAGAATTCATGACTGGCAGAGTTTGACTATAAGAACTTCTAAAGGAAGTTCCATAGGCTTCAGGGAAATGAATACATTTGGGTATGTATATATCTATATCTATATCTATATATCTATAAATATATATATATTTGGAAATGTATATCTATAAAAAGGAATGGAGAACATCAGAAAAACTAAATGCATAGATAAAAAAACCCACTACTTCCCCCCACCAAAACCGTAAAATACATATTTCACTTATGTTAAACCCAAAATACTTCATTTATATTAAAGCAAAATTTTAACTTTGCAATAAGGGGTTTATAGCACACACAGATATAATACATAAAACATTTATGGCATAAACAACAGGAAGTTGGTGGTAAATGGGTCTATATGGTTGCAAGTTTCTTACAATTGTGTTAAGTATCACTGTTAACTCTAAGAAGACTACAGAAAGTTGGGATATGTACTGGCAAACTGCAGTCTGGGAGTCAAATCTAGACCAGCACTTGTTTCTACAGAAAAAGTTTACTGACTCATGACCTAGAATAACCACTTAATAGTGGTTAATAAAATAATAGTGCAGGGGCACCTGGGTGGCTCAGTAGGTTAAGAGTCCAGCTCTTGATTTCTGCTCAGGTCATGATCTCATGGTTCATGAGATCAAGATGCGCATAGGGCTCTGTGCTGATAGCATGGAACCTGCTGGGGATTCTTTCTCTCTCCTGCTTGTGTGCTTTCTCTTTCTTTCTCTCTCTCAAAATAAATAAATAAATAAACTTAAAAAAATAATAGAGCAAAGAAGTATAGCTAAAAAGCCAATATCTAAATTAAAATGGAGTTCTCGTTGCCAAAAGAAGGCACTGAACAACAACAGCACCACTACAAGGAAAAACAATCATAAAATGATTGACCAAAGTACAACCAAATTGATAAATACATTAAATGGAAATGGACCAAACACAAATTAAAAGGTAGAGATTTTCAGTATGAATGAAAAAGCAAGACCCAACTATAAGACCCTCACTTTAAATACCAAACCACTTTGGGGTGCCTGGGTGGCTCAGTTGGTTGAGCAACTGACTTCAGCTTAGGTCATGATCTCGCAGTTTGTGGGTTCGAGCCCTGCGTCAGGCTCTGTGTCTCTCTGTCTCTCAATAATAATTAAATGTTAAAAAAATTTTTTTTAAAATACCAAAACACAGATCGGTTGGTTGAAAGTAAATGAACAGAAAAGATAGGCTATGCAAACTGTAAGTGAAAGAAGTCTGAACAGACTTATCAATCAAATAAAGCAGATTTCAAAAATAAATAGTATTATTAGGAATAAAAACTATTGCCAGAGATATAGAGGAATATTTCATAATGATAAAAGGGGATCAGTTGATCAGGAAGACATAATCATCATAAACGTGAATACTCTAAAAATAGCATTTCAAAATATATAAAGCAAAATTTGACAAAACTAAAGAGAGAAACAAAATTACAAAATCATAGTTGAAGATTTAACAGCCCTAACTCATCAACTAAAAGAATATCTAGACTAAAAAATATTAAAAATAGTTATAGTTTTTTAAAATATTTATTTTTGAGAGACAGGACAGAGCACGAGTGGGGGAGGAACAGAGAGAGAGGGAGACACAGAATCCGAAGCAGGCTCCAGGCTCTGAGCCATCAGCACAGAGCCCAATGCAGGGCTTGAACCCACAAACTGTGAGATCATGACCTGAGCCGAAGTTGGACAATCAACTAACTGAGCCCCCCAGGGGCCCCAATAGTTATAATTTTTATAAGATTCAGAAATCGAAAAACAGTTACTCAGGTTTTACCACCTGAATAACACAATAGATCATGGCCCTTCCTCTTGATTTCTCCTTTGAGCCAGATCTACACATGGATGGAAGGCAAGTATAGGAAATAGTGTTGGCCCATAAACAAATGTACTTTTCCTGGTTATCTTGACAAACAGAATACTATATGTGTTACCATTTTTCATTTAATATATGGCTTTAGAATTACGACAATTTAATCAAACTATATAGCTATTAGGAGGATGTACTGGAACAAAAGTCAATCTGACCTTTCTATTATATAGCGCTGCCTGCTTGTTGACAGTTGCATAAATGACTAGAGACATTGAGATTACTCTCTGTAGGATCAAATAAATCTTTGGGGACATCTGGATTTCTTGGATTGATTGATCCTAGCTTCCCTAAGATCTCAAAAGCCTATTTCTGTTCAATCAAGAAGACAATATAGGTATAGAGCCATGTAAACCTCAATAACTACTATAAATTCATGATTTAACGTCCAATACATGTCATCCACTAAAGTAATTTTACTCTTCCAGGAGTCTAGGCATTGCTTGACTTAAGCTATGGTTACAAAATGGTTCTAATGTCTTTTATTTGATTGAGGAAGTCAAACATCACATATCATATTTATCTAGGCATATCTGATAGGCTGCAAATAAAAATAAAATTCTAAGGAATATCAACAATATATAAAATAGGTAAGTAATTTTTTTTCTCTAGACCTCATTTCTTTACAATGAAAAGAATGAACTCAATGGGCTCCAAATTTCTCTATGCATTGCTACATGTTAGCTTTGTATACAGTGTAGTAAAATGGAAAATATCTACAGAAATAACATTTGCATTGATATAACAGAAACCAAGATGATGAATATTAATACTCAAAGAATATTCTTTGGGGATGACTTCAGTTAATAACACTGTCACACACAAGTTCTTTCCCTGAATACATTTTTCTCTTTTAGGTTTCTGATGTTTTAGATTTGACCACTGTCAAATATAATGCCATTATGGGAAACAACAGGCAGGGGGCAGCAGATTTCAAAGAGGAACACATAAATGCAATGACATTAGTGACAATTGCTATAGCAGGAAAAAACATTTTTCTCTTATCCTTTTCTGGCTCTTCAGTTGCCAGCCATTTAAATTATTATCTAATTTTAGAATTTTAAATTGAGTATGTATATGTACATGACAAAGCAAAATATCATTAAAATTATAATTATCATAAAAATCACGATTCTAAATAAAACCAGAAATGTATGAAATGTATGAAAGCTCATAAGCTTATGTGCTCAAAATTTTTACATATGTGCTATCACATATATGTGTGTACATATGCACATATATAAAAATATATATATATATTTATATATCTATAAATACATACATATATATTTAAATATATATTTGTTGTTTTTGTTTTTAACATTTCTCCCCTTCAGTTAGTGAACGAAGACCTTGTGATCTTCTTTTGGTTGACAAACTCCTGCCTGTTTCTATGCTATGACCATAAAAGAGAACTTGTTGCCACTCAGGGAAAAAACTATATACTTCTGAAAAGATTTTTTGATAGTAGGAAAATACGTAGCATTCGCTAATATTAAAAACTCTAAGAGCAGTGCCACGGCAAAGCATGATGACAGACATACGTCCACATTCCAAGGGTCTGAAGAGCACTGGACTTAAAATGAAAGTAGGCAAGAAGCCTCAAAGAAGTTTCTTGTTATGTTAGCTTTATCAATATTCCATTAATTTATACAATATTGCGCCATTTTATTTTAAAATGGATTTTACAGAAAAAAATTTTTTTTTATTTTTTTTTAACGTTTATTTATTTTTGAGACAGAGAGAGACAGAGCATGAACGGGGGAGGGGCAGAGAAAGAGGGAGACACAGAATTGGAAGCAGGCTCCAGGCTCTGAGCCATCAGCCCAGAGCCTGACGCGGGGCTCGAACTCCCGGATCGTGAGATCGTGACCTGAGCTGAAGTCGGACACTTAACCGACTGCGCCACCCCGGCGCCCCTAGAAAAATTAATCATACCTAGGGTAGAGTAAAAGTAACAGTTATCACCAACAGTTTATAGGTGGGTAAACCTCAGCCCTACAATGAGGATGCAACTTGCTCAAGTAAAACACCACCCTAACGACTGAAGGAGGAAGAGAGCTGGTATTCTCTTAGTCTAGCACGTGGAATAGTCACAAGAGTTGTGTCAGAGAATAAACTGAACAAAATTTATTCATTGTTTAACTATTCTTTATTACTTACTGGTTTCCCTTGAATTCCTCTCTCTCCAGGGTTTCCAGTCTTACCCTATATAAGGAAGAAAATGCTTGGGTCAAGTAACTCCCTCACCAATTATTAATCACACATGGAGAAAAATGGGGAAGATTTTACACATTCATCTTTAATGTTAAATGTTTTACTACTTACAGTAAGACCATAAGGCCCTCTTTTTCCTTGATCTCCTTTTTCACCCTAACAAAGTATCAATACCAGAGGAATTAATACAAATGTGAATTATGGTCTTATACATGCTAGCCTACACTCACATACAAGAAAATAAGGCATCAAGTATGTAGTTCAATATTTAAAAGAAAACATTTCTCTGTGTGTAATAAAAACTCTATGTATGTTTCATATTTATACCAAGAGAAAATTCAGAACCATACTTTTGTAAGGAAGGCTCAAAAAAACTTAACTGCTTATGAAATGAGAAAATCAGTGTTTACCTTGGAACCTTGTATACCTTGTTCCCCTATGAGACCATCTGGTCCTCTTGGTCCCTAGGGATGGAAAAACAAAATCCTCTTCTTAATTTAAAATTTTTTTTTTTAACATTCTGCATCCTTACAAATAAACACAGTGTTCTTCTTGACAAACTCCTATTTGTTTCTGTACCATGAACACAGAAAATAATACAGCTAGGTATATGGATGAACCTCTTTGTATGGGACAATCAAGCCAGTATTTTCAAGATTTAAGGCCAAAGAATAAAATATAAGGCCATGACAGCAGATGATTCAGTTGCGGAGGTGGTTACAGCACAGGTTTGTTATTTCACTATTTCGTTCATCTTGTTCACTCAGGAGCTAGCCACAATAAATTCTAAGGACAACTCTACACTAACTTAAAAGTGGCTGGCTTGTTTATCCAACTGTCTACTTGAGTTTTATATCTTGGGAATGGCATTTTTCTCTTTGTTAGAAAATGAGGGCTGACTGCATTGTGCCTGTTATGCACCTGCTTGTCAGTAGTTACTGGAAGATGGTTGGGGACACAGAAAAGGGACAGAAAATACAGCTAGGAATGAATATTCATGTAAATTTAAAGCTAAGTTAAGTTGCTATCAATATTCTGTTAATAGCTGTGAAGAACCAGTGGTTGCAAAAGTCACTCTCTAAATAAATGGTAGTATATGTCTCCATGCCTAAACTATAACTCTCCTTAGAAGATCTGATCTTAAAGTCCCTTTCAAAGGGAATAACTCAGTTCTGTAACACTGACAACACTGTCGCATCTACTGTGGAAAAGGACTGCATTCAGTGTTACAGGGATACACGACTATAAGAAAATTTCTCCTTCACGAAGTTTATAGAATGGTAAGGTAAATTATACAACTGATTATAATATAGGGAGAGAAAAGGCATTTAAGGGTGAAAAGGATTCAAAGGAGGGAGAGAGTTTTCACTTTTTTGTTTAGGGAATAAAGATATCATTTTGACAGTTGGAGATCATGCTCTAGAAGGAACTCTGGACAGAGGGATAGGATGGTATGAGAAAAGGGTACAGAGGTAGGAAACCCAAGAATGAAAAAAAGGTAGTCTGTTTAGATTGTTTATTGATTACACGTAGCATTTCTTAGTATCTCTATATTAAGTATTTTCTATACTAAGAAATTTTTGGAAAGACTGGGACTTGAAAGGTGAAAGACTGGAGTTTATTTTTAAGTCAATAGGCAATGAGAAGGCACTGAATGAATAGTGATACACATTTCCCAATACATCATGCTGATACGAAGGAACACCTTAGGTGAGGTTGCTTTAGCTTTCTGTTCTTCAAAAACTGCTTACTATAATAGCACTCTCTTCCTGGGTACTCCTAGGGTACTGCATTCCCTGATCCTCTTACGCACACTCATGGGATTAGAGAGAAGGCTCACACTCCATGAGGATCTCCACTGGTCAGACTAAAGTTAAAGCCATAGCTCTATAATCTCCGTCTGTACTTACAGTACTCCACAATTTGTCCCTAACTTCCGTTTCTGCCCTATTTTTCCATAAAAGACTGTAAACTTGAATTACAGTCTTATTGTGTAGAACCTTGAATGTCAAGTTGAGGAATATGGACTCAATTGAATAGATAAGAGACTTTCAAAGTGTGTCACTCATTTAGCAAACATTTGCTGAGTGCCTATGATAAGCCAGGCGCTGTTTCAGGCACTGAAGATACGGTAGGGAGAAGAGACACATCCCTAAATACATAAACAATGAAATAAATATATAAACTTGAACTATAAAATGACAATAAGTAGTCAAGTGTAATGAAGTAAAAAAAGAACTCAAGGGACTAGAGAGAATTCAAAATGGGGACCCCAATTTTAGAAAGGGTGGTCTGAAAAGTCTCTCTAAAATGACATATGGGTAGACACCTGAAGGAGGTAAGATTTCAGGCTTTGCAAATAACTTGGGGAAGATCATTCTGGCAGAAGAAATTGAAACTGCAAAGGTCCTGAGGTGGGGACAAGCTTGGAATGTTTAATAGTTAAGTAACTAAAATTTAAAAAAAGCAATTATTAAAGGATGACTGAAGTTTTTTTTTTAAAAAAATTTTTTTTTCAACGTTTATTTATTTTTGGGAGAGAGAGAGACAGAGCATGAACGGGGGAGGGGCAGAGAGAGAGGGAGACACAGAATCGGAAACAGGCTCCAGGCCCTGAGCCATCAGCCCAGAGCCCAACGCGGGGCTCGAACTCACGGACCGCGAGATCGTGACCTGGCTGAAGTCGGACGCTTAACCGACTGCGCCACCCAGGCGCCCCAGGATGACTGAAGTTTTAAGTGCAAAGATTCCTCAGGACCTGGTTCTAATCATCACCTTCACCTTAAAAATTCAGCAGCCTGTATTGATTCTCTTTCTCTGTCTCCTTTTAAGCACATTTCTCCTCTTTCTCACCTGTAAGGAAACACTTTACAAAAATTTTTGGAGTCATAACAGAAGGTGGTTGAGGGAGTACAAAAAGGAAGGAGTGTGTCTGGTGACAGATGGTAGCTACGTTTGTGGTGAGTAGGGCATAAACTCAGTTGTTAAATCACATGTAATACACCTGAAACTAATGTAACAACGTGTGTCAACTATAGTTCAATTAAAAAAAAAATGTGTCCACTGTTATTTGGGTACTCAACTCTTTTGCAACCTGAAATCTCTATCTTTCTTGGACATTTTGTTATAAATAACTAGTAGAGTGAGGACAGCATTAATAGCAAACAAACTGGAAGTGTAGGTTTGCTTGGGTGGAGAGGGGGTATTTAAAAAATACTTTCATATTATTATTTCATTTACTAAATGAGGACTATATGGGGAACAAAGAAAGAGAAGTTTCTGCTCCTACAGTGATGACAAAGATAACCACATTTAGTTTTTTCTTTTAAAGGTCTAAGTATAGCAATTGCATTAATTAAAGCCTGTAAAGCCTAAGGCTGCTAATTAAGATGTAAGGCTGGAAGAACACTAGGAAAGCTCAATACTCTCTATGCTTCGGTTAAGGCTAAATTAATTAACTCAAAGCTTAGCTTTATCAGTGTGTCTAAGTTTCATTCTGATATCAGTTGTAAAAGTTAACCCTGGGTTAGTTAACGTGCCTTCTTTGACTCCTGAGGCAAAGTAAGTTTTAGGACAAGATCCAAGAGAGATGAAGAGTATTATAATAGGCATTTAATGGGCATAAAGTTAATTTTTTTTAATGTTTATTTATTTTTGAGAGAGAGAGAGAGAGAGAGACAGAGCATCAGCAGGGAGGGTCAGAGAGAGAAGGAGACACAGAATCCGAAGCAGGCTTCAGGATCTGAGCGGTCAGCACAGAGCCTGAAGCGGGGCTCAAACTCACGAACCGTGAGATCATGACCTGAGCTGAAGTTGGATGCTTAACTGACTGAGCCACCCAGGTGCCCCAAGTTATTTTTTTTAATACCTGCTTTAAAATATCTGATTATCTATAAACCTCTTGGAGAATGTATGCTGGCTAAATAAAATATCTGATCTTTATCCTTTTTAAGAAAAAGTTGGCTACAATAAGTGGCTGTTAGTAGGTTCTAAAAACTGGAATAAAGTCTGATAACTCAGTCCATAAATTAAACATGTTTCATAAAATAGCAAGTATTTGAATTGTAGGCAATAATCTTAAAGGGTTAACACAATTCCTGAACAATCAATATAGTCCTAGAAGTATTACAGGATAGGAGACAAAACTGCTATTTCATATATATGCTACAATAAAAAAAAAAAAACTGTGATGAAAACACATAAACAGCACACTTGTTTATGTAGGAAGCTTTTATGAGAATTATAAGACCATCTCTATAACACTTGTAATCAATTTTAATAAGCTAAAGTATCTATGAATGAAAGAAACAACCCTTATTCACAGAACAAATGTCTTTCTAATTTGGATTCAGTATGTTTTTCCTTTTAACCACATCCATCTGTCTTTGCTTGACCCCTCTATTAATTTTTTTTATTTTTTATTAATTTTTTTGATGTTTATTTAGTTTTGAGAGAGACAGAGACAGAGTGTGAGCGGGGGAGGGGTGGAGAAAAAGAGAGACAGAATCCAGAACAGGCTCCAGGCTCTGAGCTGTCAGTACAGAGCCCAACACAGGGCTCGAACCCACGAGCAGTGAGATCATGACCTGAGCTGAAGTCAGACGCTTAACCGACTGAGCCACCCAGGAGCCCCAGATCCCTCTATTAATTTTAAATTACTCAGGTGCCTAACTAATTATGCCTAGCAGTCTTTTCTGGCTCTTGATTAACACAGCTGGAACAAAACATTCTCTTAAACAAAAACTAATATTATCTGTGACTTTTTGTGGAAAGATCATTTCATCCTAGTCTTGTTATAAATTCTTCCAGGAGAAGAAACCACACAAGAAGCTCCTCTTCATCACTTGGTGTCCTCCAGGTAGTGCTAGCATCAAGCCTAATCACAAATGCTGATGGCTGGTTTCCCAATATGGTATACATTTCCTTGAAGAAGCCACAATTCAAAAATTTTATAATCCTATACATTCTATATCTTGCATACAAAATCTAAAACATATTTCTAATACAGCCATTTCAATCTTTTCTCCCTATTTAAATCCTAAATAGCATAGAATACAAATCATTTAATTGAATGCCTCTATACCACCCCTCTAGAGGAAGGACACAAAATCTGAAGTTGCCTAATGATCAAAGACCCAATCCATGGGCAAGAAAAGAGAGGATAACTTTGCTAGGTGTGCCATCTCTTCTGTCAGGGCAGCTGGACACAGGACACAGAAGTACACATTGGGGAGATATCACCAGATCAGTTACTTAGCCCCAGTGAGTTCCATGTGTGCATGAGGGACAGCAACTAAAGTTGTGCTGATTCTTAGTGACCCAAAAAGGCTAACCTACCATCTTTCTGGTACTATAGTAGAGAATCCGCTAGCCTATATCGTCTATATGGGGGATATGATTGTATATATTATATGTATTAGCTTTGGCATGTTAAGTTATTTTACTACACTTAAGTAACTATTCTTTTTTTTTTAATTTTTTTTTTTAATGTTTATTTATTTTTGAGACAGAGAGACACAGAGCATGAATGGGGGAGGGGCAGAGAGAGAGGGAGACACAGAGTCAGAAGCAGGCTCCAGGCTCTGAGCCATCAGCCCAGAGCCCGACGCGGGGCTCGAACTCATGAACTGTGAGATAGTGACCTGAGCCGAAGTCGGACGCTCAACCGACTGAGCCACCCAGCCGCCCCATTAAGTAACTATTCTTTAGCCAAACTTCGCAGGTGGAAAAAAGCATAGAGTATGTAGGATAAATAATAGTACTTTACATTTGTGGCAAATCTCCCACCTAAGAATCTCAAATCATAAGAATGATACTTTCAGCCTATCCTGCTTTTTTTTTTCATCTATATAAGAAGCAGGATTTTACAACCTTCACAAAGCAGGTTAGACAAATTTTCATTATTCTAAATTATTTAGGTTGTTTTCTGGGATGGCAGACATTGTTGGCTGTCTGAGCTTTTCTTATCCTCTGGAAATTGTACAGTATTGTACATTTCAAATGCCAAGCAGGCTGTAACTAATTAAATAGAAAAATCCATGTGGTCCAGATCTGAAACGTAGTTAACACTGGATCCTCCATGGTATGAGGAGAATGCTTGACAAATTGTAAGAAATCAGTAAATGTTAGATAGTTGAATGACAGATGGATGGGCAGGCAGACCCCTAATTAAGAGAGTGTCCTATTATTCATGATGTTCACATGGCCATGTGATAACAGTGTAAGTCACAGGCAACACAGTAAGGGCACATAAGCACTAGTTCCATAATGATAATTCTCTGTGTGATCTCAGTGTCAGTGTGCCTGGGCACAGCTTCCTCTCCAGTGTACTGTGACACAGTTGTGTGCCACAAAGGGGTTACAAATGTGCTGGGAAGATCAACCCCCTCAGCCATTGGCATGGCAGAGAAGAGCTGGAGCACAGGGACTTTGAACCAGATACCTTTTTCATTTATCTCAGTGGGTTAGACATATATCGTCATCTTTCTTTTCTC